TTGGGGACCAATTTAGAATAAAGGTCATAGTTTGGGGATGAAATTGAAATGTTCAAAAGTTTAAGGACTAATTTAGAATGGTAGTCACAGTTTAGGGATGTAATTAGAACATTTAAAAGTTTAGGGATCAATTTAAAATAAGGATCATACTTTGATGACATGTGATGCAATTAACCCTTAAATAAATCATATATTCTTTTAAAGTAAAACATATTATCACACGTGATTTAAATAATTTTCCTTTAAATAGATATTGTTTAAATTTAATAATTAACCAAATTTATAAAAAGATAATTCCACAAATAAGAAATTAATATATACATCTTTCAAATATGTTTAGTGATGTTATATTGAAAAGACATTAATTTTTATAATCTAATAAATATTAATAAATGCAAAATATTGAAAAATAATAAATTATTCAACAGGCATTGAGTATATTATGTACAAATAAACTATAAATTAGTTGTACTAAACACTTGTATATAATCGATTAATCAAATCAATTACTGCAATCTACAATCATCTATCAGTTAATATAATTCATTATCAGTTATCAACTATTTGTTAATTGTATAAAATAACATATTTTGTATAATTTTTCTGTAAATATATGATATATTATAAATATATTATATTACTATTTTAAATTATTGATTAGGTATTTATTTTTTTACATAAAAGTTGAGGTCAGGGTTGTCTCTCCAAGTCTAGAGCCAGAACATACCTAAGATTTAATTGGGATTTACATGAGAATTTACAGATTGTCCACAAAAAAATATTATACAATAATATTTATGCATATGTAAAGCCGATTGAACATTTAATTTTTATTATTAAAGAGACTATCACATGTGAAATTGGTTTGGGAGGGTCGCCTTCGTCTCTGTAGTACTCGATCTGGATTAGTCAATCAATAAATCGAATATCAACGATTAACTCAAAAAAAGATTATCATGTATTAATATTCCGATGACAAATTTTTTTTTATATATTAAATTTTAGATTAATTTTTTTTAACTTAAAAAATATTTATCCTTCATTTTAGAATTTTAAAGGATGTTTTTTTATTTAACTCGATACATAAAATTTATTTTTCTCAAAATTATTATTAAGTCAAATGAAATGCAAAGTAAAAGGGAAAAAAAACAAACTAAAACATTAGTCACTAATACCGTATAGCTTTTGTTTTGTGTGCAATAGTGACAATCTTACTTAAAATTATTATTTCACTCTATATAAAATATATAATCAATTTATTGAAACTAGATCAGAATAAATTTAATAATAACTTTTTTATAAAAATATTTCATTATAATTTGATTTTTTAATATTAAATTTGAGTTTGAGCTCAATCTTTTGGTTCAAATATTTTTATGTTTAAATTATTTTTTAGAATTTAATTTTTCCGAGTTTTTTTTCAAACTCGAATTCATTTTTACCACATCTAAGAGTAACCTTATAAATATTAATTTTACTTAATTATAATATATAAGAATTTGCACTTTTGAATATAAAATTTCTATAATGAAAATTTGTTGGCATTTGTGAACTTAGATATGGAACAAATATAATTTACATCGACTGTTATTGTACGATAATATTTTGTAAATAAAATAAATGTTTATTAAAAAAACAAATATAACAAACAATCGGTTGATCTAGTGGGATATATTCCTTAAGCAAGATCATTTGAATCTTGGCGTTTATAAATAGAGCAAACTGGGTTAGGAGGGTCGTCATCACCTCTGCAGTACCCGATCTGGATTAATCTATCAATAGATCGAATACCAACGATTAACTAAAAAAACAAATAGAATAGTCTTGTATAAATTATTTTTGTTTTCTCTCGTCATTTTTAGCTTGATCACGTGTAGTTTTGTTACTATTTAAGTTTAAATATTTTTTAATTATTACATTATTATTTTATACTTTATGATGATTAATTGTGATTGTAGTTATGTATATTATAAATATAATAATATTTATGAATTGTACTGTTTGATCCCAAATATAATTATAGATTTACGATAGATTTGTCTTTATAAAACTCATAATTTAAATACGAGTCACCTAGGGATTTTTTTTATATTTCTTTCTATGTTTTTTTTTCTTGATTGTCCACGTGAATGATAATGTTTAGGGACGGATATAAGATTTTATGTTAGTAGGACGAAAATAAGTTATCAATAGAAAATATAAAAAAAATCTAAACTATAAAAAAATTTAAAATTTTTAAGGAGAGGCGACCATCTCCCCTTACTACCCCTCAGTTCATCAATGACAATATCAATTTCTAGTCAAGTGGTTGTTACTAAGATGTTTTTCATAATCCTTATTTTATTTTCATCTATTTTTTATATTGGAGTTTTTTTTTTGTTATTTTGGTTAATAAGTTATTCTTTTCTAATGAGAAGCTATATTTATCTTCTTCTTCTTTTTTGTGGGGGGGGGGTGAAACAAGATAATAAAATTACTTAGACAATGATGTTGGCATCAGACCGTAACAACGACAACACCTCGGAAGGGGGAGTTTCAAACTTGATTAAATCCAAAGACGTGCAGTGATCATCTTCTCCAGATGATCCGCTACTTTATTACCATTTCGAGCCACATGATGCAGCTCCACAATCCAATCCAGCCGCACCAATTCACTAATATGGTCAATAATCGTCAAAAGAGTACTGTAACCCTACCTAACCATGCATATTGCCTTGAGAGGTTCCAGACTATCGATCTCGACCAAACCCCGGTTAAGATTCATCTCCCAAGCAAGCAACATACCCAGGTAAACTCCCTAAAGTTTACCCTCAAAGATCGAACAAATACCAAAGCATATCGTCAATATTGATATTTGTCTGTATCTTCTATTTTTCCGAATTTAAGGAGTAAAAAATTTTAATTTTTTTTCTTAAAAATAATATGTATACAAATTGTTTTATTTTTTTCTTAATACATTAAATTAAATTTAATAATTTTTTCAAAATAATACGGATACACTTATTTCTTAAAAGACTTAACGCATCTGTCCAACCATATTTCCTTCACGAGTCACATACATAACTTGCAACCTCCAATCACATCAAGTAATATCCACAATGTGTCCTTGCTATCCTTTTTTGGATATTAATTCCATGACAAATTAATCCCTATTTTTGGTAGTAGTTCCACAATTTTATTTCACGTATTCAATTCTGATCATTGAGTTAATACAGAATTGGTGAAAAATAATGGTAATTGTACATGAAAAGATTTTTCACTGATTATATATTTAAATGCAAAATGTAAAATGGTTTTCCTACCAGGAATTTTATTAAATTTAAGAAACAAATTAATTAATCTGTTTTTCTTAAATATCACTTTAATTACTCATTAATATGAATTAATATTGAAATATAATAAAATCATAAAAAGTATTTTCATAACTAGAATAGATTAAATCACATTAACAAATATTTTTCTATAAAAAATTAATTAAACAAAATAAAAAATAACACTTAAATATGAAAAATAAAAATTATAACAAAATCTGAAACAATATAATTATGCTAAGAAATATAAAAAGATACTAGAGGAACAAAGAGAAAAATGATTTTTTTTATAGAAACCGAAAGTTTTATTAAAAAGATGATATATCCAGAATTACAATAAATATTTCATAATCATAAACTAAAATTATAATTAAAACATTTTATAACCATTGACATAAGAAACTATCCCTTTAAGATCACACAAGGACATATAAGTAAAAGATTAAAAAAATCGAACAAAATATAAATATAATCATATCTGACCGTATCGATAAATAAACCACAAAAGAAGATAAAACTACATAATATGTACATATGTGACATGCAAAGTATTTCATTATCATATAGTCATATCATCAACACTTATACAAAGTATTATTATAGAATTAGTCGAGACTTACTAATTTTTGTATCTAAATATAGTTAGAACTTAAAAAGTATCTTAAGTTACTCACATCAATATACACATCTAATCATATTTTAGATGTTACATTTACAAAAGACGGTTATCAAAATTCCTTTACTTCAAGGGTAGTGGTTATGGCATTCTTTGGCCACTTTCATGTCTTTTCTATTCTTCTTTTTATTATTATTTTCATTGGTTGTAGTTTGGTTTTATTAATTTTCAATTATATTTTACGTATTTAAAATAATTTATTCTTTTAATTCTTTCTCTGATAAAGATTATCATGACTACGAGTACTTTTAGATTTTCGATGCAGGTTCATCCATTGGTCTTCTTCTTGTTATGTGGTTTTACGAAATTTCTTGGTCATTTGCTTTCTAGATGGATAGTTTCTTTGTTCGTGTGCATATGACATTTTGTTTGTTGTCAGATATCTTTCTCATATGAGATTGTTGTTAAAGGAGGATTGGTTTTTCATTTATCTGCTTTGTATATTCATTAGGTTTTCCTCCTCTATGTTTTACGCTTGGGGACGTCGAAATGCTTTGTCTCTATATGTCGTGGCCTCAACTATTCAAGTTCTTGCTCTTCAGGTTATCATTGATCACTCACTATTATTTTTTGTTTATGGTAGTTATAAATATATTTATCCAACATGTACATGGCAAGACATTATTGATGTTGCTTTATTTTATTAATGAATATATCAGTCTTACTTTTAAAAAGAATCATATTTTAGATATAAAAATTATAAATCTTAATTAATCTAATAAAACTATTTTATTTAAGTATTAGTGATATAATTATATGCTAACGAAATCAACCTACTTTAATGGAATTGGCTTGTATAAGTGAATGGAAGATAGATATTATAAATAATATAATCAAATCAACTTGAATCGTAATAGTGTAAAATGGTCGAATATATATATGTATGTATGTATGTATTTTATTCCAAGAAGTTGCCATTTCCGACATTATTTTGCCCTTGCTTTCAATTCTCTCTTTCACTGTCTTGTTTCCAAGAACCAAAAGATTATATTTTTCTTAATCTTTACGTAGATATGGGACGGTCTACATGTTACGATAAGGTGGGGTTGAAGAAAGGGCTATGGACTCCAGAAGAAGATCAGAAGCTCTCAGCTTACATTGAACTACATGGCCATGGAAGCTGGCGTGCTTTGCCTGCAAAAGCTGGTAAGTAGAGTATTTGTATTGTTTATTTTCCATCTTCTTCGATTACAAATCACGAATCTTAATTACTGTTTACCTTTGCTTTTGGTACAATAAAGTGCTTCAAAGATATGGTAAGAGTTGCAGACTCAGGTGGATTAATTACTTGAGTCCCGATATCAAAAGAGGAAAGTTCAGTTTCCAGGAAGAACAAACCATCATTCAACTCCATGCGCTTCTCGGAAACAGGTGATTTTCTATCATCCAAGTTAATAAAATCATTGTATTGGTTTGTTCACATGAAAAGGTAAAAACGAAAGGAATAAATAAATACTCTATATTTGATAGATCAGTCCAATAAAAACGAACAGTAGGGATCATGAACTATACCCTTATCTTTGTCTATCATAAAAAACAAGAGAAGAAAAAAAATATTGCTCGAGTAGGATATGAATAAATAAATTCATCATTCGAATTTCTCCACCTTTACCCATTCTAAAATATGGTTCAAAGTTTTCGATTTATCACAATTTTTGCAACATGCTTAAATTGATTTCAGTATGTATGTATATAGGTGGTCGGTTATTGCAGCTCATTTACCGAAAAGAACAGACAACGAGATCAAGAACTACTGGAATTCGCATCTGACGAAAAGATTGAGCAAAATGGGGATCGATCCGATCACCCACAAGCCTAAAATCGATACCCTCGAGTCCGCAAGCAGTAACCCCAAGGATGCAGCTTACCTCAACCATATGGCTCAATGGGAGAGGGCTCGGATAGAAGCCGAAGCTAGGTTTGTTCGAGAGTCAAAACTCATGTCGAACCCTCATCAAAACCTGCAGATAGCCGCCGGTTCCTCCTCTTCCTCGGTTATGGCACCACCGTTAACTAGGCCACAATGCCTTGACGTGCTCAAAGCTTGGCAAGGCGTTGTCACCGGATTGTTCACTTGCAATACCGACAACCTTCAGTGTCCGACATCAACTTTGAACTACATGGAAAACATGTTACCTAATGGATTAATCAACGACAACTTTGTCGGGAACTCATCGGTTCCTTGTGAAGGTGCGATCGGATACGATAGCAAAAATGATTGGAATAATGAGGAAAGATTATTGGATACCACCATGGAGTTGCATGAAATGGCTGCATGGTTTTATCAAGATTCATACATAGAACAACTTCACATGAATAAGGAAGGTAATGATTATTCAGATATAATGGTTTGGGATTTTGGTAATGATTATCAGCAGAATTCGTCAATGGTGGCACCTACTGAGAACTTGAATGAAAAAGACTACGGTGGTGGTGATAGCAGTTACGAGGAGATCATGAATTACTGGAATAATATCCTTAATTTCGTAATTAAGTGATCAAGCATGGATACAACGGAGGTCGAATTGACCAATAATCTCGTAGTTAATTTGACCTCTTTATAAGAGTAAAATTCACTTAAAATATGTGTTTTTTTAGTAAAGTTTTTCATTTTTCATTTTACTTTGACATTATGAGATGAGGCCGCAAGCTTTCGGACAAAGTCAAATGTTGTGAGCGGTAGGCTTCTAGACAACACTAAATGTTTGAATCTTGGTGTTGTGTATTGAGAATGTTTTCCTCAAAAAAAAAAAATCTACAATACTCAATTCAAATTGTCAGTACCGTTTCGAAGTAGCCAATCATAAAATCGCCGTCAATCTTTTTAGGTGTTATTGAATCACCGTATAAAAATATTCATATTCCACCAAAATGAGAGTTTGAATTAAATAAGAATATTATTTAGTTTTCAAGAATTAAAATCAAGTTCGGGGGATACAATTACATACATGAAAAAGCTTAAATTTCTACAACTCCCGTAAAACAATGCTTACTTGATCACAAATCATTCCTTCGTCTTTGTATTAAGATGTAATTAATATATCTTAGATTAATACGATTTTTTTAAAACTTTTCAAGAATACTCTCAAATTATCTAACTTCTATTAAATAAGGCAGTGATGTTGTTTGACTCCACTCATTGGATGATTCGACTCATGTGATGTAGAATGTTTAGCTTATGCTGCATAACGTTGGGATTGAATTTGAATCTTTGAGTCCATAAAATGGGAGTTAATTAGGAGATCAATTTATCTGATGTGTATGTGATTACATTATGGTTCAATTTGAACAAAGATGGCGAAAAATCGTTGATAAAACGTATCATTCAAGTTGTGTCATTTAAGTAAAGAAAACATGAAACTGTACTTTTATATTTGATATGTTGGTAATATGCTATCAGCATGATTAGGATGTGTGGTGATGATTTGAGGTTGATTTCTAATTTTAAAGTATGTAAATTATTCTTTTTAATTTTTAGTATCGATGCTGTATGAATGATACCATGTGAGTGAATCTGGTATCAAAATTAGTTTTTTAGTATTGATTCTATAGGGTAAGTATCAACACCAAATGATTGGTACCAATACTAGATCAAGCTACTAGAATCCGAGGGTTTAGGGCATCTCCAATGCTGCTTCACTTTGGAGAATTTCTCCGCTTTGGAGATAGTTTTATCTCAGGACTGCCAAAAACCATCTCCACTTTGGATAATTGTTACTGTAGCTCACGTTACAATTTAGTTTTTTTATTCAAGTAGATTAAATTACAAGATAGATAAAAATACATTGAAATTAGATAAATAAATATATTAATTTTTCTGATTTTTAGTATTTTTTTCTGATTTTTTTTAAAAGTAGATTAATTTGCAAGATAGATAAAAATACATTGAAATTAGATAAATAAACATACTAATTTTTTTTTTATAATTTTTCTGATTTTTTGTAATTTTTCTGTTTTTTTTAATTCAAGTAGATTAAATTGCAAGATAAAAATATATAATTATGTAACTTGTATTTTTTTCACATTATTATTATGAATTGTAATTTTCTTATTTATTTGTATTTTCGCAATATTATTTATAAATGTTTTATTTATGTTTTTTATCTTGATATTTATTATAAATGTATATGTTTTATTTTATATTTGCAAAATCAATATTATGATAGTTAAATATTGTGAATAAAGGGTTGATTTTAACTCAGTTGGCTCTGAAATTCAATAATATGCTTATTTTGAATTTAATTTCATAATTGAATATGCTCTACGTTAGCTCACTCCTTGCACTCGAATATGGTATCCCATTTCATTGATGAGCCATGGCTCCCAATAGTTTTTGTTTTGATTTTATTATTGGATTGTTCAACTCTTCGGATACTGCTATCGTGCATAAGAAACTTAAAGTTTTGTGGAAACTTTGGTTTAATAGCAGCTTTTTTTTGTTGGTAGAGTGTTGGTAATTTTGCTGCATCAGTCTTGCAAAATTAGGCAGCCGCTAACATGATTTACACAACTGTTCAGTCTATGATAGTATTGATGACACGTATCACTATCAGATCAAAGGATACTTTTTTAATTTTTAATTATTTGTTTTTATACTCAATCAAGATTAAATTGATAGAATATTGAATATTGAGGATCAAATGCATAATTATATTAATTTTGTTAACGGACACGTCAACATTTCTATGTTCACGGAAGGTGGCCTGATTAAAATATTTAAATAATTAGATGGTTTGATTGAAAAAGATCAAAACATCAATAGTCTAAATGAAAAAAAAAATCATTTAGAATCCATATTTTATTATAAGATGGGCTGTCCAAGTACCCAAATAGTAAGAACATCAAAACAAATCAAAGACGAAAGAAATTGGGCCTCTCGACAAGGAAACAAAACAAAGGAAACCCATAAATTGCAGGCAGCTCATTTTTCAAATCTCCCATTTCGTACAAAACACAAGCAAAGAGAAAAAAACCGGGGGGGGGGGAGAAAGGGTACATCGTTCTAGTAGGGTTTTTCAGTGGAGAGAACTAGATTCCGGGAAGAAACGTTTTTCAGATTAGTTTGTTTCAACAGCTTTTAAGTTCGAATACCAAACAAAACCATAAATCATTTAGGCACGCCCCAGCTCTTGTTCTGAGTAAGCTTCTTTTCTGCTCTCTTGATGCGATTTGATCCCAAATGGGACTTTTAGATTCAAGTTGTTCATAAACATATAGTTGAAATATGCAGAGGATTCGTTGAAACGGGAGTCTGGGACTAAGGTTCACCATGCTAATATCCAAGCCTCCAAGGTAATCTTTTTTTTTTTTTTGAAAAACTTGTACTGTTTCTATTTGCTTTGTTTATATCTAAAAATGAAATTGCTGAATTAGGAGTTGTGATCTGAGGTCTTTATATCTATCTAAGAAAGCAGGCTTTAACATGCTTTGAGTCTTTGATATGATTTCCATTTGTTGTAGTTTGTTCCATGCTCACTGACCAAAACAACAAACTTCTCAGGCTAGTTGCTGACATTATTAGAACAACATTGGGTCCTCGATCCATGCATGTTGAAAATGCTCCTTGATGCTGCTGGAGGTAGTCCCTTTTTCACTCCTTTTTGGCCTTTTCATTTGATCTAGTGCAGCTGTTTTCAGAATTCACGAAAACATTTTATTAGCATAATCTAATATCCTAAACAACCCTTCAAAATCATAATCTAATACCCTAAAGTCATTCAATCTTAAAACCCTAAATGGTCTAAACTGAAATCAATGAATGGTAAAATTCAAGAAATATGCCTATGACTTACACCAAAACTATGATATAATAATCTCTGACAGGTGCTATTTTTATAAAATAAAAAAATATACATTCTTAGCGTAAAATTGAGTTTTATATGCCTCTGTAATTTTTTTAACGATTTCAATTATTAAATTTATTTATATTAATATATTTATTATGCATGTAAATTTTTTAGTTAACTCAATATTTCAATCATATCGATCAAAAGTAATGTATATATCAATAGTAAAATTGTGTAGAATTCAAGACATAAAAGGAAAAATATGTCGGACTAAATAATTATTTTAGTTTTTTTTTTTTGAGTATTCTAGTTGTCGTAACCGGTTTTCACCCGGGCACGAATTTATTTGTTTGGCGGGAAAAGTGATGTGAATAAATGGTTTTGAAAATAATTTGGGAGTCGCCATCGGCCTTTTGGGTCAGGTAGGTCGAATACCTAAAAATTATTTTTTTTAAAGAGTTAAGAAAACATCAATTAAAAAAAATTGAACTGATCTGCATTTATAACCAAAAATTCGTTCTTTTTAATAATAAAAAGGGATTCGTGGTCGGTTACGTTTAGGGAAGGATTAGCACCCCTACAACGCCCAAAATTGGTACTTTTTAATTATAAATTGTCTCTATTATTAAAATTTTAAAAATTCAAAAATATATTTAATTTATAATTCTATTATTTCAAAATTATATAAAAAATATTTATTTATTTAAAAATATCCGAAAAGAACTTCTAGGTGCCTTAAGACAGCTCTTTTCTTTGATATTGATAAATATTAATTTAAATAATATTGTTTACTTTTTAATTTTAAAATATCAGAATAGGACATCCAGTTGTATTAAGACTGTCCTTTTCTTCGATATTAAAAATAAATATTTAAAAATACTATTTATTATATATTTATGAATATAAAATATTTAACAATATAAAAATAAAAATACAAATACTACTAAAATAATATATTTAAAAACAATAAAATAAATGAAAACATATAAATAACTGACTAAATTACAATAAAAATAAAATTAAAAATCTAATTCATAATTAATCAAAATTATAGGGATTAAATATGTTATTTCTTTATTTTATTTATTTGGTGACTAAAATAAAATTATCTAAAATTCGGATATTAGAATCAAATAAATTAAAAATATAAACTAGGGATTAAAATATTATTTATTAAAATTAATGGATTAAATCTGTAATTTATCCTAAATATATTATTTTAATATGAAGGACTAAAATAAAAGAAATTAAAATTCGAAGACTGAATTAAAAATATTATAAATTCAATTTAGTGACTAAAATGTAAAGTTTACAAGTTCGGAGGACTGCGGACGGGGTTTAACTATTTTATAATTGCGCGCATAGTCCTTCCCGAAACGACGTCGTTCGGGAAGGACTATATATGGTCCAAACCGACTGGCCCGAAGGGCCAGCCTTCATTTTTCATTTCACTCTCTCTCTCTAAACTGAGAGAGTTTTAAAACTCTCTGCCTTCTCTCTAGCTTCCCTCATCGGAGGGAAGCCGGTCACCGGTCGGCCACCGTGTGCCGCCGTGAATGTCACCGCCGGCCACCGCATCCGGTGGCCGGAAAAAATTATTTTTATACTAATCGGAGCGAATCTACAAAAATACCTTCGATGTTTCGAAGGTTCTGACGAGATCCGGTGGTCGAGGCTTCCTCGGTAAGTCTCTTCTTCCTTTTTCTTTTTTTTTTTCTGGTTCTTTGCTGCTGAGATCGTTGGTAATAGTTTGTATCTTCTCTGTTTTTTTTTTGTCTCTCTCTTTTTTTTTCTGTCTCTCTGTCCCGTTCTCTGTCTCTGTCTTTTTTTTTTCAGGTTGGGGTGGTGGCTTTTATAGCCACCACCGTTGTAGCCGTCGGACCGGTCCGAAGAGGGGATCTCGGTGAGTCACCGGACTACCAGTGGTGACTCACCCCGTAGTCGTGGCGTGGATGGCTGGCGTTGGAGCTTCTGGAGCGTTCGGTTGGGACGTGGCAGCGGCGGAGGCGGCGAGATAGCAACGGCGGTCGCGTGTCCCTAGGGTATCAGACCCTAGGGTTTCCATCTGGGGCAATCTGGACCGTTGGATCGTGCCAGATCCAACGGTTGTGATGAGGCGGCTGGTTTAGATTAGGGTTAGGAAACCCTAACTGGAAACCCAAATGTTTAGGGTTTCTGGTTTGATTTGGACCGGTTCTGGTTTGTTTGTAACTGGGCCGGTCCAGTTGTAATTGGTCTGTAATTATTATTTATATATATATGTTTAATATATATTTAATAATAATAATAATAATAATAATAATAATAATAATAATAATAATAATAGTAATAATAATAATAATAATAATAATAATAATAATAATATTAATAATAATAATATGGATAAAAAATTAATATCTTCAGCTGCCCCTCTTTGCTCATTCTTGTGTTAACAAGAATAGGGCAAAGATGAAAAGATAATAAAATTTTTTATCCATTTTGACTTTACTTTGATCATGATGGAGATATTGAATAAATTCTTCTCTCTCTCCAGATAAGTTCTTCTTATTATGAACTTTCTGCTGGGGATGATGATGACCTCCTTTCTGTGATAGAGTCATTCAAAAGGTTGAATAAGCTCTTGATGAGTTCTTCTCATTATGAACTTTTTCTAGAAAGGCTGATGCTAATCTATCTCCTTCTGCGATAGAATTATGCAAAAAGTTGAACAAGTTCTTCTTATTATGAACTTCTTCTTTCTTCTTCAGATGACGAGTTCTTCTCATTATGAACTCTACCTGGCAATGTTGATCCATCAAATGATGAATTCAAGCAAAAGGTTGAACAAATTCTTCTCATTATGAACTTATTCTTCCTTCTTCAGATGAGTTCTTCTCATTATGAACTTTCTCTGGAAAAGCTGATCCATCAAATGATGGATTCAGGTAAAAGGTTGAACAAATTCTTCTCATTATGAACTTCTTCTTCCTTCTTCAGATGAGTTCTTCTCATTATGAACTTTCTCTAGAAAAGCTGATCCATCAAATGATGGATTCAGGTAAAAGGTTGAACAAATTCTTCTCATTATGAACTTCTTCTTCCTTCTTCAGATGAGTTATTCTCATTATGAACTTTCTCTGGAAAAGCTGATCCATCAAATGATGGATTCAGGTAAAAGGTTGAACAAATTCTTCTCATTATGGACTTCTTCTTCCTTTTTCAGATGAGTTCTTCTCATTATGAACTTCTCTGGCAAAAATAATCCATCAAGTGATGAATTCAGACAAAAGGTTGAACAAATTCTTCTCATTATGAACTTCTTCTTCCTCCTTCAGATGATGAGTTCTTCTCATTATGAACCTTCTCTGGAAAAGATAATCCATCAAATGATAGATTTGAATCTTTGCTAAAGTCTTTGAAATTCCTGTTAAAAATTCAACAAGAATAAAAATGAATGAAAATGCACCTATTTTTGTAAATACCTAAAATATGATGCATGAATGTTAATTTATTTGATTTCAGACTGGTGAATTGAGTATTTCTTCAATTGTAAAAACCCAATAGATCTTTCTTCTTCAAATCAGAGAATCTATTTTCTTTGACAAATGTAAATGTAGATATTATGTAACAAAACCTCTTGAGAATAAAACTCAATAGTATAGGCTCTTGAAAAACTTGTATTCATACAACATGTTGATTCTGATAACAACTCATCTGATTATGAAGTGACCTTTCAAGATGATTTCACAGATATCGATAGTTCTTCTAATACCGAGAAATCTTGAATTCTGATTCTGATGAGGAGAATAAACTGTTATACTTGACAAAAATGGGATTCTCAAGTGCTGAAGCTTCAATAGCCATGTAGAAATGTGGTCCAGATTCATCAATTGTAAAATTGATAAATTTTATATGTGCTGTGCAAATGACTAAGGCTGCTGATGCACTTCTTCTGGTAAAAGATAGGAAGTCATTATGCAATGATCCCAATTACAAGAAAAGGTGAAACTTGGGCTATGATTTTTTGAGAAAGGAATAAGCAAAAGAAGCTTGAAAAGAAACTTCTTAATGAAGACGATCATGCAGTTCATCTTTTAATTCCAATGATTGATTCTGTAATTTTTACCAAACCAGATTAGATAACTCAAAGAACACTTTCAAAAGATGCTATTGGCAAATTCATCTTCCAAATTCAATGATTAGTTCTGCCAAATCAGATCAGATAACTCAAAGAACACTTCCAGAAGATGCTATTGAGCAAATTCATCTTCCAAATTCAATGATTGGTTCTGCCAAATCAGATCAGATAACTCAAAGAACACTTCGAGAAGATGCTATTGAGCAAATTCATCTTCCAAATTCAATGATTGGTTCTGCCAAATCAGATCAGATAACTCAAAGAACACTTCCAGAAGATGCTATTGAGCAAATTCATCTTTCAGATTCAATGATTGGTTTTGCCAAATCAGAACACTTATTTGATGTAGAGCCAGAATTTGTAGATTCGAAGTATTTCCATGCTACTACACTGAAAATGGCTATATTCATAATTCTGCCAATTAAGAATAGATTTTCTCTTATTCTGCTTCCTCCATGTGCTGATGCTTTTCCATTGACAAAGAAATGATGGCTTTCATGGGATCCAAGAACAAAGTTGAACTGTTTATAAACATGTACAGGAAGTGCCAAATTGACAGAAAGGATCTGTAAGGCTTTTGAAGCTTATGACAATGAGCCACCTTCGAGTGTCCAGAAGTATGTTCTTGATGAGTGCTGAAAATGGAATCTAGTATGGGTTGGAAGGAATAAAGTTACTCCACTTGAACCTGATGAGGTGGAAATGCTTCTAGGTTTCCTTAAAAAACCATACACAAGGATCTGTATAGAGACATATTTCCCAGTGATATCAATGTCTTGTTTCCTTTTGTTGGAATCAGTGCTGCAAAGATCACCTTCTATTGTCTTAGTATATTTTTGAAAACAGATGTGCAAGAACTGAATGGTGATCGGTTGGAGCAATTGATGAGTAGATTTGGCGGATTCGACTTTGTTGTAGGTAGGATCCCGTGTAATAATCTTGATGTTCATGGCTTTAAGCTAGTGATGATTTGCTTACTTTGTATTCCATGTATTCAAAAGTATTAACATAAAGTGATATTCAGAAATCTTTAAATTATTTCAAAATTATGTTAAGTCAATAGAAAAGAATAAATTGAATTTCCAAAAATAAATTGAATCTCCAATAAATTGAACTTGAAATATATAGAATTGTATTCAAAGTTATGGCAAGCATAAGAATGATAAAATTCAAATGTCTCAACAAATTATAAGCATAAGTATTTCTAAATTAATCAAGTTGACACAATTTAGAGAAATGATGTAAGCTTTTGTCTGGAAGATCTCAAACGTTGTCAAAATGCTTGTAGATGTGAAGTTTCTCCCAAACTGTCAAAATCTTCAGAAAGTTCAATTGCCAGATGCCTAATATCAACCTGCATTTGAGCCGCCTTTTCAGGTTTTCAACTCAAATCCTTCCTTTGGTTATAAGATGCCCTTTACGGGTTTTCACCTTGACCCCCCTTTTTCTTTTTTTCTTTTTTTTTTCTTTTCCTTTTTTCTTTTCTCTTCAAGCATAATATTTCTTGACAGAATCTGAGTTTATTGGATTTCTCAGAATTTTTCCATCCATTTCTGCCAAGATCAATGCTCCTCCGGAAAAGGCCTTTTTCATAATGTATGGCCCTTCCCAATTAGGCATCCATTTCCCACGGAAATCTTTATGTATAGGCAAAATCTTTTTTAGTACTAGATCACCCTCTTGGAATGCTCTTGGATGTACTTTTTTTTCATGAGACTTCATCATCCGTTTTTGATACATCTGTCCATGGCAAATAGCTTTCAATCTTTTCTCCTCAATAAGGTTCAATTGATCAACTCTAGCTTGGATCCATTCAGATTCATCCAATTTTGTTTCTCTCAATATTCGAAGCGATGGAATCTCAACTTCAATTGGTAAGACTGCTTCCATCCCGTAGACTAAAGAAAAAGGCGTTGCCCCAGTAGATGTTCGAACAGTAGTTCGGTATGCATATAGAGCAAAAGGTAACTTCTCGTGCCAATCTTTGTAAGTTTCAGTAGTCTTTGTAATGATTCTCTTGATGTTCTTATTTGCTGCTTCAACTGCCCCATTCATCTTTGGACGATATGCCACTGAATTTGCATGTTTGATCTTAAACTGTGCACAAAGTTCGGTCATCATTTTGTTATTCAGGTTCAGAGCATTATCTGTAATGATCCTCTCTGGTAGGCCATATCGACAAACTATCTCTTTCTTTATGAATTTGCAGACTGTTGACCTCTTAATATTGGTGTATGAAGCAGCTTCAACCCATTTGGTAAAATAATCAATTGCCACAAGGATGAAACAATGTCCATTCGATGCTTTTGGTGTGATTGCTCCAATGACATCTATTCCCCACATAGAAAATGGCCAGGGTGCTGTCATTACATGTAAAGGAGATGGGGGTACATGAATCTTGTCTGCATATATCTGGCATTTATGACATTTCCTTGCATAATCAATGCAATCTGTGTACATGGTAGCCCAATAGTATCCATATCTCATTATTTTTCTGACCATGGAAAGAACATTTGCATGTGTTCCACATATTCCGCTGTGTACTTCTTCAATGACATTTCGAGCTTCGCTAGTATTTAAACATCTCAATAGCATTTGATCACTGCTTCTTCTATACATAATCTCTCCATCAAGAAAATATCCAACAGCCATTCTTCTCAAAGTTCTTTTATCAATTTCCGATGCATTTGGTGGATAACTTTGATTTTTGATATATTGCAGAATATCATGATACCACGGTTTACCATCTACCTCTTCTTCCACACTATAACAATGTGCAGGAATTTCATATACTTGCATTTTGATTGGCATCATATCAACTTTCTTAGTTGCCTGAAACATAGCAGCTAATGTAGCCAAAGCATCTGCCATTTGATTTTCTTCTCGAGGGAGATAATTGAAGGTAACTCTCTCAAATTCTTTTACTAATTCGAGGGTAAAATTTCGGTATTCAAACAATTTGGGATCTTTTGTTTCCCATTCTCCTCGCAATTGATACACCACTAACGATGAATCTCCATATATCTTGAGAAATTTGATTTTTCTTTCTATAGCTGCTTTCAACCCCATGACACAAGCTTCATATTCCGCCATGTTATTGGTGCAAAAGAACTCCAGTCTGCTTGTAAAGGGATAATAAATATTTTCTGGAGAAATTAACACTGCCCCAATTCCTCGTCCCAAAGCATTAGATGCTCCGTCAAAATAAAGCTTCCAAGTTGCAAATGCATCATTTGTTTTGACTTCTTCATTCATGGATATGCATAACAGATCTTCATCGGGAAAATTGAAGTTCAAAGGCTGATAATCATTTGATACACGACTGGCCAAAAAATCAGCTATGACACTTCCTTTTATCGTTTTTTGGTTGACATAGATAATATCAAACTCAGATAATAACATCTGCCATCTAGCCATTCTGCCTGTCAAAGCTGGTGATTCCATTAAGAACTTTAAAGGATCAAGTTTGGATATCAACCAAGTAGTATGGTATAACATATATTGTCTGAGTCTTCGAGTAGTCCACACCAAAGCACAACATAATTTTTGTATTGGTGGATATCGAACTTCACAATCGGTAAATTTCTTGCTCAGATAATAAATAGCTTTTTCTTTCCTTCCTGATTCATCATGCTGTCCTAGTACACATCCCATCGAATTTTCGAAGACTGTCAAGTAGAGAATTAATGGTCTATCAGGTATTGGTGATACTAAAATGGGGGCATTGGATAAATACTTCTTAATAATATCCAAAGTTTCTTGACATTCTTCATTCCAGACTTCAGGATTATTCTTTCGAAGTAATTTGAACACTGGATCACATTTGTCAGTTAATTGAGAAATGAACCGAGATATATAATTTAATCTCCCCAAAAAGCCTCGAACTTCTTTTTTTGTATTGGGTGGTGGAAGATCTTGAATTGCTTTTACTTTATCTGGATCAATCTCGATTCCTTTTTTGCTGACCACAAATCCCAAGAGTTTTCCGGAAGTTACCCCAAAAGTGCATTTATAGGGGTTAAGCTTTAATTGATATCTCCTCAATCTCTGGAAAAGCTTTCTCAGATTTTGAATATGTTCTTCTTCCGTTTTGGATTTGGCAATCATGTCATCTACATATACTTCAATCTCTTTGTGCATCATGTCATGAAACAAAGTTACCATGGCTCTTTGATATGTTGTCCCTGCATTTTTCAATCCAAATGGCATCACTTTATAACAGAATGTGCCCCACATGGTTATAAATGTTGTTTTTTCCATGTCTTCAGGATTCATTTTTATCTGATTATATCCTGAAAAGCCATCCATAAATGAAAACCATGCGTGTCCTGCAGTATTGTCCACCAATGTGTCTATGTGGGGTAATGGAAAGCTATCTTTCGGACTAGCTTTGTTGAGATCTCTGTAATCCACGCACATTCGAACTTTTCCATTTTTCTTTGGTACGGGAACAATGTTGGCTACCCATTCTGGGTATTTAGATGCCTGTAGGAAACCTGCATTGATCTGTTTCATCACTTCTTCTTTGATTTGCAACAACATTTCTGGCCTCATTCTTCTGAGCTTTTGTTGAACCGGTTTATATTCTGGATTGATTGGAAGCTTGTGTATCACTATATCTGTGCTTAAACCGGGCATATCTTGATAAGACCAGGCAAAGATATCTTTGAACTCTTGAAGGAGATTTATCAATTCTTGTTTTATCTGGATTGTCAGAGTGGTACCAATTTTCACCTCTTTTATTTCTTCATCTGTTCCCAAATTCACAGTCTCAACCTCTTCCTTGTGGGGTAGAATTTGTTTGTCTTCTTTTTCTACCAATCTTAATAGTTCAGTAGGAACATCACATTTCAGTTCATCCTCACACCCATTGATTTCTTCCAGACATATATGCTGCTCTAAATTTATCACTGGATTAAATCTAGGAATAAACATGCTATTAACACTGTGACACCTGCAAATTTAAATCGGACATATTTCCGAAAGAATATAGTAAATTTATGAAATAAATAAATGTAAAAATGTAAGAAAATGTAAAGAATGATTGCCATCTGAAAATTTTAAAGGAAATTTCTTATATTTAATAATTTCTTTTACAAGATAACAAAAAGTTTTCATATTTTTGAGCTAAACATAAAGATTAGTTCTGAATATTACTCTGCATTAATATTAAAAACTATAGGAAGATCTTCAGTGGTCTAATTGGTGAGTGTTTCTCCAGGAAGACATGGTCGAATCTTATCCAAGTATTTGCCAGTTTTGTTGTCATTCATGACCATGTTGACAAATAATCCATTCATAGCTTCTTCAACT